GCGTGCTCTCTCTGGGGATTAGGGGGGGTTGTATGTCTGGGCCTCTGCGTTATCTCAATTCCTCTGCTGTCCTTATCTCCAAAGCATGAGCCTGGAGAGAAACAACAACCGGGCCACAGCCAAAGCAGACAGATAACTGGAGTGCCAGGCATGCAATGCAAAGACGCAGAGTGAAAGTATTGTCCAGACAACAAACACAAACACACACAAACACACACAAGCACACACATGCACGGCTCGTGTTGTTGCTTTTTTGCATGCCAGTAAGAGAGAGAAAAAAATTGCGAAGATTGTATTTCCATATACACACTCACACTGCCTTTTACACTATGCTTGTCAAAGGCTGTTATAGCTGTAGTGAAAATAGACTGACCTTCTGGTCTGAAAATATATTAAACAATTGAATGCTGAAATAGTTCCTTGGGAATTTGCTTGCGAGGACCATGGGCTCTCACGCATTGGAGCATTCCTCAGTGCTTGTTTATTTATCGCTGTTTAAATTCGTTGTCTGAAGGCTTTTTATAATGCCCAGGCCCACAATTTATATGGGCATACAAAATTCTTACTAAAACCAGCGGTACCCTAAAGTAACTCACATTTTTGGCTCGGTGTTTTTTGACAAATCACAACTGAAGCTGTAATTATATACGAGGCCATGTAATCAGGATGGGGGGTACTTTTGGTGGTAATTATGAGTATTATTTACAAATGCTTAAACACTATGACCCGGGGGACCAAATCATTGATTTCAGTGCCTGCAACTCGTAGGGTGGTAGCCGGGCTCCAAATCACGAGATTTTGTGGGACATGAGCTAATGGGAATCTTAGAGCTAAAAAAAAACACGAATGCACAATGCCCTGCAATAAAAATGGGGATAAAAAACCTACTATAACTACACGCATTCTGTTGCTTCTTGGAGGAACTTGAGAACTAACTTAAATTGTTATGCTATTGTTGTTGTGATTTAACAGAGATGGGGTTATACAAACCATGTCACTCACTCAAAATTAAAAAAGTATGCCCTAATTCAAATACAATAAAACAATCTGGATTAGAGTCCGTTTGCGGCCCTAACCTTTTTAAAGGAAACCAAGCAGCATTTAGAGAATGAATTTACTTGATGAAGAACACCAGCATGACTAATGTCTAACTTTACAAATTGATACCTTGTTCCACGATTTCTTACTTGCTTCCTTCTATTGGATCTCCGTACTCACATTGTAAAACATGAATGGATGGATGTTTGTGAAATTGACATGCACTAGCCAGTTTCGGAACGGCATTCTTGCAAGAAGGCCGCCTGTCAAGTCAGAAACAGAGCTTAGTATGCTGAAGACTGAGGCCTCGGGCTAATATATCCAAAAGATAGGGAGAATGACGGAGGATTAATTAATTCAGTGGGAGGCAAAAGCCTGTCTCCTGGAGGTGTAATGTATACATACATGTGCGCAAAACTGTCAATTTCATAACAGGGAATTGTGGTAAAATGGAGAACCACTTCTAGATCTGTGTTTTTTTAGCTGAGGGCCATATAATAACATTGGACCTGTTATCATCACTAAAACAAAAAAACATAGTCACCACTATTCTTTGATCCAGGGCAGATGTTAGGATGTCATCAGCAGGATCGTAGGGATAGAAACCCCCGCTTGATGACATGGCCCCTTTTGTCTCTTTAGACTCATAAACTCAGTCTTCTCCGCGGACAACTAACATTTTAAAAGCTCACAACTGAAACAAGAGCTGTTTTCACAGGCATTACATAAATTTTTTTATTGATCTTTCACCGATAAAGTATGACTTGTTTGTAGAGGTCTACCACTGTTTGATGATGTATCCATCTACAGTCTCAATAAGCAAATCGTATAGACAGGGGTACAATAAGCTGCAAACAGTCTAGAACTCACACACAGTCTTAAATGAATAATACTATAGTACAATTTACAATATTTGTTATGATTGTAATCGGTAGAATCCATGTTACACCCTATAATTCAGCACTCGCGAGACAAACACAATTATGACCTATCAATCACGTGATGTCAACCACAAATATAATATAACTAAGAAGATGGAATCTTTCTTAATGAATAATCTTGCCTTAATTTATGTTTGTTCTTTCATGTAACACTTTATTCCAGCCCCTACAAACAATTATGACATATTTCTAACACAATATAATATAACTGCAGTGATTTTTTTAACAATTGAAGCCAGAGTGTTCATTATCAGTGTGTAAACAGCTGATAAGGTGCAATCATTCATGTTCACATTCATAAACTCGCTTCTCAATGATTGTTTCATGTGTATAAATATTAGTTACATTAGTGAAAACATACATTAGTTAAAACACAGTGTTATCAGACATTATATAAATATATGTATATATGTTATTTGATGTCAGGTTATTAAAAGAATACTCTAATGTTTATGTAATACTGTAAATTCCTCGTGAGCTATTTAGATATTTTAGTCCATAACAGACTAATTGCATTGTGGTGTAAAGTCTGTTTTTAAATGTTAGTGATGCAAGTACAGTTTATGTTTGGAAAGATTAAAAGACTTTAATTTGTTTAATTGGAAATGGGTTTGTCTGATAAGAAATCTCTGTTCAGGAGATTTATCTGTAAGGCATAGATTATTTAACTTTATTTCACCGTGTTTATACAACATAAATGAGTATTAATCAGCAAATTTACATGGTGACAATTGTGAGGTAAACAGTTGAAATACTTTGTGGAAATACATATGGATCCAAATTAGCAATGGCAACCCTTAGTCTTAGATGAGGTTTGTGTTGCAAAGATGACACTGAAGCCTGTGCGAGATGCATTCTGTTTCAGACTTTTTGTGGTGCACCCGCTGAATGAGCCTCTTTCTTTTTTTTGGCCAGAAACTCTCTGAATTTGGCACCACCTAAGTGATGCTGTGAGGTTGTTTTTATTCTGCAAAGTCGATCACAGAGCATGACATAGTTTGTGACTTGCTTGCTCCTCTTGCCCTGCCAAGTGCAAGAATATCACACAAAATCGACTATTGCATTTTGCCACAACCAAGACGCACTCGAGAAGCCTGGCTGTTCGGTAATAATAAAGCCAGCTTAGATGATATGTGGAAATGTTGGATGCTATTGATTAAATGGAACACTGAGAGTTCTTCTGTCAATACTGCAACTGCCGGCGTTTTAGTATCATGATCCAATATAAACAATCCATTGAATAGGAGGGTACATGGATATAATAATACTGTACGGCACGAGTGCATAATAACTCGGATCGCGTATATTTTACTGGCCTTGAATCCCATCGTTCCTTTACGAATTCTTTTATATACACTTGGGCTTCTCAGTGCCTAGTATACCCGGTCTTATGAGCGGTCACGTCTTTCCTATCACTAAGTTACTATACACTAACTCTCGTGAAGTCCAGCCTAATGAGTGCATATCCAGCTTAACCTCTTGAGACGTTAAATGGAATGCGTGATATTGTCGAGATTGGAACAGAAAGTTAACTATAAACCAGACATCTTAACGTAATAGTGCTACAAGACTCTCATATGTTAAATAAACATAAGAGTTGTGTATTGGGGGAACTACCGCTCCTCAGGCGTTACTGCGCCAGCTCATCAGGTCTTTGACGTTAGAAGAATAGAAAACTCACATCCTATTCAATAAAAATGAATAATTGATGCTAGAAAGCCATTATTATGCCGTCCAAGCCATCACCGCCCGAGCCGCACAGGGCGCCAGGAATCTCGCGGTGTTCAAGTCCGTTAACGGAGGTTTTGCCCGTATCGAAGTGTTTGTTTTGGTAGTATTTAATAGTGCACATTTTTAATGTAGTATTAATGTGTTTGACGAGCTATACTTTGGTGGGTATTAAATTCACAGCAACTGAGCTAGGATTGACTACTTGACTGCAGCCGATTATTTAACGTTGCCGAGAGAGATCAGCATCCACATCTTAGTAGAAAGATGCAAAGATCAAGTGGAGATGACAGCCATCAGAGCAAAATAACATACAAGGACCACAAACTCGATTCCTGCATGCTACAAACTTTTACGATACCAGCAGTCATTAGAGACGATGCCGTCTCACGCATATTATCAATAGATCTATCCTTATGGACTGATAGAATCAATTCTCTGTTTAATATGCCAGCTATTGAGAAACATATTACGGATATTTCACTAAATATAGAAGCGGTAGAGAGTAAAAGTATATTGTGTAGTGTTAATAACATGTAAAAATACAGAAACACAGTGGGTAGAGCCATTTCTCTGTAATAACCTCTCTTTTCCACAAAGGAATGAAGCTCTTTAATATTCTCTCGATATCATGGGTTAATTGATCATATCATTAATTTTAAGTGGTATTGATTGATACTTCACAACTATTAAATTTCTACACATATTGCCTATGCCTTTTGGAGCGTTAAAATAATATGATACATATTTAGTATGCACTCTGTAAACAACTAGGATTGCAAATGAAAAAGAGTAATTGAGAAACAAATATGTTTTTTGTTACTCTCAGAAAAAAAGTATCGGCGGAAGCCGAACCGTCCGAAATTTTTGTGTGAGTCTGTGGTGCACATCACAAACATGGCTGACAGCTGCGTATTAATGTGTAGATAGTTTGTTGGATATACGTGCTTTAAATCAACCATCAAATAACAGTACTGAGATGAATTAGTAGT